CCCAGTAAGGGGTAGGGACATTGAGGAATAACAATAAAAGAGTGAGTCACAGTTCCTTGTCCTAGGTTAGCAGTCCAGTCGGTAGTCCATTTGTGTTCTTTGGCATCCCCTGTTGCCCCCGTCCTTCCACTGTTTGCTTGTTAACGGATTTCAGGAGCTGCTGTAACACCAAATGAGTAGCCTCTGTGTCCATCAGAAATTTTACAGGTTGGCTTTCTATGGTGAGAGTTACCATAGGCTCCTGGGGGCCTAGTTCAAAGGATCCTCAGTCTCACCGATCCTCCGTAGCTAGGATTGACTTGCGTATGGAGGAGCCTACCTGTTTCTAGAGTGGATATTCTTCTTTCTTATGAACCATGTCTTTGCGGTAGGTACATTTGTCCTTTGGTAAAGGTCTCCTCTTTCCATCATGGTGAGCACGGGCAGAGCCGAGAGCGACAGTGGCTTGTAGTGCAGCCATGGTGGCCGGCCCCATCGTCCCTATCACATCTTTGCTGTCTCTGCCAACAAACACCTCCTGGGCTATCTCTCATAGTTCTGACCTGTTCTTTATGTGAACCCATTTATCTTTTATGTCTTTCTACATATGTCAGGGGCCGAATGAGTAGCAAAGATCAGGATAATCACTTTGAGATTTGCCAAGTCCTCTGTGTCTGTAGGAGTGTATAACTGACAGGTGTCCAGGAGACGCTCCAGGAAAGCTGGAGGTGATTCCCCTGTGTCCTGTTCACATCTGTATCCTTAGATAGGTTAGTGGGCTTTGGGGCTGCCTGTTTCATCCCTTCTAGCAGAACACGGTGGTATTCACTGAGTGACCTCCTACCTTTCTCCATGTTAAAGTCCCAATGGGGTCTCCTTGGCAGTGGAAGGCCAATGGCCACTGAAGCCATTCCAGGAAAGTGCTTCTGTTGCTCTCATGAGAACCCTGTTCCCTTTCTTGGGTGGTGAAGAGGATACAGGGGATCTGCTGGCAGTCATCCCACATGGGGAGGTGACTGAAGAAGGCAGAATCAACTAGAGAAATTAAGTTCTGGTTCTTCCAGTTGTAGAGAAAGGGACACACATGCAGCGATTGTCGAGACATGGCAACAGGCAGTGAGGCCTGGAGGAGGTGTCACCTCAGAACCAGAATCTGAGAAGTCGGAAGGACCATGTGGGACTTCATGGACGGTGTGGGGAGCAGGAAAGCAGGGGATGTCGGGAAGAGCCAGGGTGGGAGTGCGGAGGAGGCAGGTGGAGGGTGGGAAGAGTCAGATGGTGGGATGGGGTAGGGGCAGATGGGAGCGCAGAGGGAGGCCTTGGCGGTGGGGACTGGGGTGGCAGAGGGGGAGGCTGAGGTTAGGAGGGAAAAATAGGACAAAGATGGTTGCACAGAGGGAGAAGGGGTTCTTCCTCCTGTGAGTCCTGCAGAGTGTCCTTCAGAGGGGCTCGTTGGCCTCTGCTGCAGGCCCTCAAAGGGTCCACCTACCAACAACCAAGGCTTGGCCGCTTTGCCCATTGTGGACCACACAGACCTCCCTGTTGGGGGAGGGTGCTGGAAGTTGCTTCAGCCCAAGGCAAGATGTATCCAATCTGGCCCAGGTGGCCAGGCTTACTGAGGGTGGCATTAACTGCTGCCCAGGCTATCTGAGAATCAAAAGTACCTCCTTCTGTTTCACAGAACTTGGTGTTAGCATCTTCACAATCCTCCTTAGCTTTAGGGGCAAAGTCTATCAAAAGTCTTCAGAATACCTGCTAGAGTGCTATTAGGTTTGCTAGTCTCATTGTCCTACTGACCATCAGTCCAGTCACCCCAAGTCCAAAATAAACCAATTAACACAGGAAGTACAAAAGGCAGAAAGAAGACAGGAAAATGGAGCCAAAGGTAAGACAAACAGGACATAAAACCAGACCGAAAACCTCAGGTGGGTGGTGCAATGACTCGCTTTTTGCCCTGGATGAGAGAATCCTGGGGTCCCACCAAACTCTCTCCATTTCCCAGATAGGGATTCCACAAAACAGAACCAGACTGTACCTCACCAGGAGGCCTCCCTAGACACTTGCTGCTTTTCTGAGCATGTAAGTTCACCCATAGTCTGCGAATTGAAGGCAGCCTCGGAGACCTTCCGTCTCCCTAGTTCTCTCCCCCCCCCCTTCAACTCCAAAGCAAAGATCTGGATTTATAATTTGGACAGGCAGTCTGAATCTCACTGGGGCTGTCCAGAAGATGGTAATCTTAATGATCTAAATAAGATCACTCCTACAATCTGAGTCAAATTTGAAGTAAGCTCAATTTTTTTAAATTGGGGTGCATCCAAGAGCTGGCCAGCAACTGCCTTCTAAATTGGGTTAAAGAGAGCAGCCCCGAATTCATCTCTTCGATCACTTTTAAGGAGTAAAGTCACAAGTAATTTTACAGGAGAGACAACAGGGAAATAAGGACATACAGAAAAAAAATCTCAAAAAAAAATCATGTGGTCACCCACCATGTGATCAGGAAGGGTCAGAGAGGTCAGGGAGGTCAGGGAGGTCAGGGAGGGTCAGGGAGGTCAGGGAGGGTCAGGGAGTCATGAGTTGGGGAAGGTGAGATTCCAGGAAACAGAGGGCTACTCAGTAAATAGAAACTTATTTTTTAACAATACAGCCTAATGGCTCCTTGCCTTCAAAATGGAGTCTTACTCCATTCCGGAATCCACAACAACCCAGGTGACTGAATTTCTCTTCACAAAGACCATTCTAATGAATAAAAGCATCCAAACGATTATGAGAAGTAGTTAGATATTTATCCTGTTCCACAAGAATCGCTGGTTGAGGTGGTCGGAATGAGAAAGGCTCAGTAGGTCTTATGCCTGAATGCTCGGCCCCCAGTTGGTGCACTGTTTGGGAAGGATTAGCAGGTGTGGCCTCTTTCTGAGGAGGTGTGTACTGGGGGATGGGCTGAGAAGACTCAGCATTTTTCTCTCCCCGCCTCTCGGTGGTCCAAGATGAAGATGTGAGTTCCTAGCTGTCCCTTGCCTTCATCACTACATACTCTGAAATGCAAGTGTTGGTCATGGTGTGTCACCGCGGAATCAGGAAACTAAGACAGGTGTTTTTATATTAAGTAGATTACCTCATTTGCAGTTATAAATGTATAAATGGAATAATCCATTTAAAAGCTCAATTTTGGGAAACAATTTCATTGCATTGACTATGGAAAGTACCACTCAATGGAGCTGAAAAACATATGAAAACAAACCTCAATCCTACTTCAGTATTTATTTCTCTTAGTGCAAAATATTTTTCCCTCCCTAGTGACTCAGAAATTTGATTGTATAGTGACCCTTAGTGGCCATTTTTGACATAACAAGCCAAATAATTTCACACTGTTTTCCATTCTTTTAGAGCAAGTTTCATTTTCCAAATTGGTCTGAAAGAAGAAGAAATCACAGTGGCACTGAAAATTCTGCAGTATTGGCCCCCAAAGAACATGAGGCTATTAAAACACTGACGTAGGAAACAGCCCACAACAGTCAATGAGAGGTTGCTGGCACCCACATTGACAGCTGGATTCGCTATTGAATAGCCCAGCAGAGTTTTATAAAGCTAGACCTATGACATTTTGTGTTTTTTTCTGTGTGTGCATGTATGCGTCCCTGTGTTTGTGTGTCTGTGTGTTCATGAGTATATCTGTGTGTGTGGGGGTGGTTAGAGATAGAAGTTGAGTGTCCTCCTCACTTTCAAAATTACTTTATATTATTATTATTATTATTATTATTATTATTATTATTATTATTGATAGGATCTCATTAAGTAGCTCTGGCTGGCTTGTGAGGTGCTGAGATTAAGGGCATGTGTCACTTTGCCTGGTTACACCTTATGTTTGAGATAGACTTTGTCCCCAGAGCTTAGAGCTTGCATATTTAGCTAGACCGTGTGAGCAGTCAGCTCCAAGGACCCTCCTGTCTCTTCCCCTCCAGCACTAGAACAAGACAAGACTCGCTACTCTCAGCCTCTTTGTGTGGGTCCTGGGGACTGACTTCCCGTCCTCATGGTGGTATGAAAACATTTACCGATTGAACCATCTCCCTGCACAACTTCTGTCTTTCATCAAAAGCGAGGAATTGAGAAACTCTCTTAAAATATCGAGGGGGTGTTAAAGGAAACAATTCTAATGGGCGAAACTATTCCCCATCACGTGGCTACAGCAATAAGAAGCCAGCCTCCAAATACTCAGTACAAGAGCTTAAAAATGTTAAAGCGCGGTCTACTTTGGAATTTTCCTCTTTAGGTCTTGCTTCCCTACACTAGCCCATGCATATTTGCTGACAGTTTTTATTATGGTCTTTCCGTTGAAATGCCACTACGTAAGTATCTTCGCAATTGAGTCCACACTTTTTCAATGGCTTTGCCTTTTCTTTCCTCCTTGAGTTGTTGCAGACAAAAATCCCAGGGCCTGGGGCATGCTAGGCAAGTGCTCTATCACTGAGCTACACCCTTAGGCCCTGGATTCCCTATTGTTTATACAGCATTAACTCTCCGGTTGTTGCGTGGGTAATGCTGATGGTTAAGTGCTCTGGCAGCCGGGAGCCCTGGACTATTGTGGCCAGCTTTATTACCGTCTCTGTGAACTCAGGTCGCAGATGACAAGTGCATATATAAATATCCCCATTGTAGCAGAGGCTACCGTGTTTTCCCAAATCCCTGTTGTGAGGTGCCGATGGGTCTGTCCACATCCATCCAGCTCACGCAGGTGAAACATCACCAGGTAGGTGTACACAGTCACATACAATCTTAGCAATGATTCTCGCTACCGTCCTTGGTCTCTGAGGGACTGCAGGTCTAGTGATTTATGTTTAATAGAAAAAAATCCCCACAGTTGTTATACCTGCACAGAGGTTACACTGTCAAATAAAAGTATGCTGTATTTACATATTATATTAAGAAAACAATCTTAAGGTAAAACAGCCGTTAGTTGAAGTTTTTAACCTCCAAAGAGGTATAGCACCACCTCGTGGCAGTTCCTCAGTAGAGCAGCTGTAACGAAAATTCTTTGGTGACTTTAACAGGAACTTCCAGACAGGGAAGTGGCAAATAGATCCGTCTTCATTCAAGGAGAGGTGAAAATTACTTAAATAAGAAGACAATCACAATCCCTGCCGAAACTGTCTTCCTCCTTCCGATTCCGCCCAGGCCAAGAGCAGGTTTCGACTCTCGCGAAAACGATGCAGTTTCATCCTATCCTTAGCTGTATGAGGAAACAGCCTTTTATCTGATATAAACTCATGTTTGGTAAATGTCTTCTCAGAGTTTTATCCTCCGTGCTTCAGCAACTAGTGACATGTGGAACCTGTGAACTCCAATGACCCAGATCTGCGACTGGATTTCAGAGGTTCCTCTGCTTCTGAGGAGCAGAAAACACTTCCTGAAAAATGCTCTTGTCTTTATTTTACCTTGTCATTCCAAAATGATGGCTGTTCTACAGATAAGGTTTATAAAGTGTGTTTTACAGAGTTTAATTATTTCCTCTATCCTTCCTTCCTCCCTCCCTCCCTCCCTCCCTCCCTCCCTCCCTTCCTTCCTTCCTTCCATGGTTTCTCTCTGTAGCCCTGGCTGCTGTCCTCGAACACGCTCTGCAGAGCAGGCTGGCCTTGAACTCACAAAGATCCTCCCAGCTCTGTCTCCCGAGTGCTGGGATTAAAGGTGTGCGCCTCCATGCGAGGCCTTCGCTATTAATTCTTCATCTTCTCCCTCTTCCGATTCAAAATGCAGATTCCTCTCAGATGCAGACTTCGCCGAAAGAGTAATTATTTGTGTGCTTGGTTTAAACATTTCTTAATAGGACCTCACTCAGCTAAGCATTTTTGACAGGAGGCTTTAAAAGTTATTAATTGTGTAAACAATAAATATACAAAGAACACTGCATGTAAGAAAACATTCATGAAGTTTAAAGGACAGTGGCACCCTGCCCTGCCAATAATAGTAAAATATTGAGAACATAAGCAAGCATTCGCCCCTTTCCTCCCTCCCCCCTTTCTAGATGTCCACTAAGAGCAAACTGTTTTTTTTTTTTTTTTTTTTTGCCCAAAGCAAAAGAGTCACTTCCAAGCAGGCACTGGGCTTTGAGCAAATCTGAGGTTGTTCTTGGGAGTCGGCGCTAAAATCTTTTAGGTAAGCAGGATAGTACTAACTGGGTTGGAGTGGGGAGTTCCGTAGATTGTTCTCGTAAAAGACCAGAGATATCGCCAAGTCTCTGTCACAGCCACTCAGCTCTTACTGTGCCAAGGGGCTGTCACAGAAAACGTAGGAACAAATGAGCAGGGTTACAGTGTAACAAAACCTTTATTGACAAAAACAGACGCTGCGCTACATATGAACCATGCTTCAGAGGCCTGCACTGTGAGGAGTCATTATGAAGAATCCATGTCTATGTCTGAACCAACTTCTCCAAGAGCTTCTCCACTTCCAAAAGCTCCCAGATCACGGCCCAAGAAGTGCTTTCTGAGTCAGGCTTTCCCTGGGCCAATTTATGCACAGCCGGTCCCACTTTCCGAGTGTACCATTAAAAATAGGGGCATTTCTTGTATCAGCTTTTGGGGTGAGTGGGCTCAAAGTGTCCTTTTCAGGGACTAAGGAAGGGGTAAATTTGCTTCTGTTTGATTCGGTGCTGTCCCAGTTGTCCGAGTCCTTATAGTATATGACTTTATTGTCGAATAAAAACCGCTAAGACAATGTGTATTTTTTTGAATGTGGAAAATGTTCTTTTTGTGTGTGCTTTTTCCATAATTTGACTACCGTTAGACCACTTTGAGTTTTGAAGATAATATATGTGTGTGTGTATGTGTAGTATCAATATATCTATGCTTATTTCCTAGAAGAGAAGTAGCTTTGTGTCCAAGTGTTTTCTTTCTGCTATCAAATAGCAACTGCTGATCAATGAGTGTGTTTTAAGACGTAGTGAGAGGATATATTCTGATTTCACCGAGCTTTATCTGTAAAATGTCTCTTACTTAAACATATCTGATGCAATGTTTGAAGTACTGCATGGGCGCTGCTTCTGAGTCCCAGGTACAGTCCTGCGGTCTCTCTAACACCCTGCTGCTTCCGACTCCCTATGACTAGATTGAAGTTACCCAACTCTGAGAACATAAAGTTACTGACTTTTTAAACACTTGGCTTTACTTTCTATTCTTAAAATTCAGTTAATGCCTGGAATTCGAACTCAATTGATCTTTCTTGTTATATGTTCTGTTGGGAATTCCTGAAATCATTATCACCATCATGGAATTTCCCAGAGTATTGGATGTTATATTTGCATAATTGCATACAAAGTAATTTATAGAGGACAACAATCTCATTTTTAATAAAACTTAATTTTTAAAAAAAATGTTAAGAAATTTTGTTTGCACAAATGAGATGATCACAATTCTGAAAATATTGTCAGATAAACATAAAGAAGTCAAATGATTAATAAATGGGCAAGTTCCTAAGTCAACAAGTAAAATTTAGCATCACAATTCTCACTGGAGAATCTCAAATCCTTCAAATGCAGAAAGGAAGCCAGGGCAATTATGTGGTTGTTACAAAGAGCCATGCCAACAGCAAACACAACAGCAACAACATATACCAAAATAACAGTACAATTGTTTGAATCCACTCAAATTTCAATCATTTAACATGATTTCAATGTCATTGTTCAGAATTAATGTTCCCAAATCAAATATCTCATCCTGTAAACCCGTGCTTGCTTACCTGGCCAAGATCACCTGATATGACCATGAAGAATGAAACCAGGCTGGTTGAAAGGGCCACTACAAAACTTAAACTGTGGCAATTTTATTGAGAGCAATCGGACATTTTACATCTTTATCAGAAGCATAACATAATGGCAATTGCCGGAATCAATACGGTTGTCGTTGCCAGGATACAATGGCATTTGCAAACTATACAGGGTATACAAGATTAATGCCCGGGACCTAATGTCCCATCAAGCTTCCATGCTTCCTTTACTTCCTAGAGAAACACAAAATGGGCTGAATGAGTCACTGTCTGAAGGAGTGTGTTGCTTTCTCAAGAGCTGGAAGGCACATTGTGCCCCAGGAGACAGACTATAACCTGAAAAAAGCTACGATGCTTGCCTCTCAAGATAGTTCAACACATGGTGCTATTTGTTTTTAATGGTGTGTTGAACTATTTCTCTTATCAAATCCCAACAGTTCAAATGTAATTTTTATCACTTATTGATTTGTCTGATAGCATTGACCAACTAAAATCAAATTTAAAAATCAGTAAAAATTCATATAAAATAATGAACCGATAGGAAGTTGCATAGCACATTTCTAGTTGCCTTTAATGATACTCCTTTGAACACAATTTGACATTCCCAATTTAATTCTCACCCCACAGGTATGCAATTATCACTCTACTAACATGTGCTCCAGTAATGGTGTCTTTAATAAATCTCACCATGCTATCAATTGGAAGGAGACCACCCTTAAATACAGGGTGGGGTATTTGTTAATATATAATTCTTTGAACTTTGAGACTTCTGATAGTCTTTTATATAATGTGATTTGTAAGAAATTTCTCATTTAAAAATGCATCGTTGAAAAATTAAACCCACAAAGATTAAGTATAATATGAGCATTAAAAATCCTCAGTCACAGTGTTAATACTATGGCATGTGGCTTCAAAATGTTCCTGTATATATGGATTTATTTATTTTCATATATTTTCCCTTTGAGACAGGTCTCACCATGTTGTTCAAGCTGGCCTCATACTTGTGATCTTCCTGACTAGGTGTCCTGAGTGCTGGGATCACAAACATGCAGTAGCATGTCTCGACAAAAATATTTATTTCTTATTATCTAAGATTACCATAGACATTTTGTGTGTAATGCAACAAGGCGCTCATGCATATTGCTCATTTTGTACTCTGGAAATATAGTGGTCAGTGAGATGCTCTTATAGGACAAAGGAAAAAGAAGCAAATAGGGATTGCGTAGATACAGAATCACAGTTACATGATCAGGATGAGAAGCTACTTCGGAAAGTGCTAAGCACCACTTGGCCAGTAATGAGCTAGTCTCTCATGAGTATCCTCTAGGTAAGTCCTTATTCCTTCAGTCTTCTCTGTAACCCATTAAGTACCATTTAAATACAGAAAGTGTTTCTCAGGTCTATTTCTAAGAATGTCTAATTGACATAAGAAAAATCTGAAAAACAATTACGACAGGAGACCAGCAAAGTTTCTTTCTTTGTTTTCAATTAACTCCATGTTTATTTTGTATGGATATTTATTAAGTTTATATAAAAAGGTTGAATTTATAATAACCACTTGAAGACAATTCTTTTCTCTCAATCAATGATCTTCATTCTATGACCCATATTCTAGGGTATCCTTTAGTCTACAGCAGACATCATTTCACATTTACTTGTGTGTTGCAGACAAAATATCTATAAGTTTGCTTTAAAATGGTATAAGCAAAGGGTATATCAAAGTTCCAACTTCACAGATGTGCATACTGCAAGAATTGACCAATACTTTCAATATTATTTAACTCTGTTTTGTTCAGATAATAACATTAAATAAAATTCTTAATGTTTATGCCCCAAATCACTTATACTTTCCTTATGTTACCATTGTGACCCTTATGTTAAAACATCTCATATTCAATAATCAGGTTATAGCCACTGTTATTATCAAATGGTAGTAACATCAAGACCTAAGTTCTCATGAATATTCAAAGTATATTATTAACATATTCAAAATACAGTAAGACTGAAATACTGTGCCTTACCTTTAAGAAGACAGCCATATCAGCTTAATTATGTATATAAATGTTACCTATTCAATTCATTAAACTTGTAACATGCATGACAATAAGTGTCAATTCCCTGAACACATTTTGTGAACAGTTTTATATATGGTTGACTATGAACAGGAAGCCTTTTCTACTTGAGCCATTTTTAATTTTTTTAATTTAAATTAGAAACTATTTTATTTTACCTACCAATCCCAGTTCCCTCTGCCTCCTGCCCTCCTGTTCCTCCCACCATCTCCACATCCCACTCCCCATCCACTCCTCAGAGAGGGCGAGGCCTTCTGTGGGGGATCAGCAAAGACTGTCACAACATTTGGGGCAGGACTGAGGCCCTCTCCCCTGTATCTAGGCAGACAGAGTATCCTTCCATAGGGAATGGGCTCCAAAAAGCCAGTTCACTTAATAGGGATAAATACTGGTTCCACTTCCAGAGGCCCCATAGACTGCCCAAGCCCCCAACTGACACCCATGTTCAGGGGGCCTAGTTTGGTTTTATGCAGGTTCCCCAGCTGTCAGTCTGGAGTCTATAAGCTCGCACTTGCTCAGGTCAGCTGTTTCTGTGGATTTCCTCAACCTGGTCTTGGCCCCTTTGCTTATCACTCCTCCCTTTCTACAACTGGATTCCAGGAGTTTGGCTCAGTGCTTAGCTGTGGATCTCTGCTTCTGCTTCCATCAGCTACTGGATGAATACTCTAGGATGACATTTAACATAGTCATCAATCTCATTATAGGGAAAGGGCATTTAAGGTAGCCTCTCCACTATTGCTTAAATTCTTAGTTGGGGTCATTCTTGTGGATTTCTGGGTTTCTCGTTAACACCATAATGGCTCCCTCTATCTAGGTATCTCTTTCCTTGCTCTCTTTCTCTGTCCTTCACCCAACTTGACCTACCTGATCCCTCATGTTCTCCTCCCCATGCCCTTCTCTCCTCCTCTTTCTCCTCCTTCCTCCCCTCCTCCCCCCATGCTTCCAATTAACTGAGAAGATCTTTTCCCTTTCCCCTTCTGGAACAGGGGGTCCATTTTTGTCTCTCTTAGGGTCCTCCTTGTTTCATAGCTTCTCTAGAGTTGTGGATTATAGATTGCCTATCCTTTGTTCTATGTCTAATATCCACTTGTTAGTGAGTACATACCATGTTTTCCTTTTCGTGTCTGGATTACCTCACTCAGGATGGTTTCTTTTGTCCTTCCATCCATTTGCCTGGGAATTTCAAGATATCATTGTTTCTTTCATTGTGCATATGCATCACATTTTTTTATTCATTCTTCAGTTGAGGGGTGTCTAGGTTGCTTCTAAGGTTCTAGTTATTGCAAACACTGCTGTTATGAACTTACTTGAACACTTGTGGTACGAGTGTACATCCTTTGAGTACATGCCTAATAGTGGAAAGGCTGGGTCTAGAGGTACACCAATTCCTATTTTCCTGAGAAAAGACCATACTGATTTCCAAAGTGACTGTACAAGTCTGCATTCCCAATGGGGAAGTATCCCCCTTTCTCCACATTTTCTCCGGCATAATGTGTCATTGATTTTTTTTATTTTAGCCACAATGACAGCTATAAGAAGGTATCTCAGAGTTGTTTTGATTTGCATTTCCCTGATGACTAAAGATGTTGAAAAATTCCTTTCAGCATTTGAGATTCCTCTGTTGAGAATTCTCTATTTAGACCTGTACCCTGTTTTTAATTGGATTATTTGGTGACTAGTTTCTTGAGTTCTTTCTATCAGATGTGGAGTTAGTGAATGTCTGTTCCCATTTTGTGGTCTGCCATTTTGTCTTGTTGACTGTGTCACATTTATTAATTATTGATCTCAGTGTCTGTGCTACTGGTGTTATGTTCAGGAAGTGGTATCTTGTTCCTACAAGGGTACTTCCCACTTTCTCTTGTAAGAGGTTAAGTGTGGCTGGATTTATGTTTAGGTCTTTGATCCATTTGGACTTAAGTTTTGTGCATG